ATTTCATCACAACCAAAAAAGAGGGTGGTTTAAGCAGTTTGCGTAGTGGGAATCATGTCTGCTGTGTGCTAACTTCCTGAAAGTGCCACGGAAAGGATCTAGACAAATATAAGTTGATCTAAGCCAGAAATCATGCTTGGGATGTTCCTAATAATTAACAGAACAGAGTCAATCATCAGAGCCCAGTAAAGTTCTGGTTTCTTCTGAATCTGCTTTTTACCCTGATCCTGATTACCTTATCTGACATTTTGATTACCTTCCTTCTTGAGCTGGAGAGCTTGTCATAACTAGCAATGGAAGGCATTTTTCATCACAGGTACTTCCGTAAGATGCATAGCTAGCACCACTGAAAAGGAGTGTTAAAATATAAAACCTAGCAATTTAGGGATAGCATTGGGAAAGTAAAGAAGCCTGTCAAGCACCATTTCCATTTCCAACCATCTCTGCCTTCTCAAAGTCTGAAAAGTGGGTCTCAGCTTTTCCAGGTTTGGCTGCAACACCATGTAAAACTTATTGCACAAGTGACAATACTGGTTGCATTCAGAGGCTGCTGTCATTGCCTGGATGGGATCTGATAATCTGCAAAAGCCTTTAGTCTGCAAGATGTGATTAACTGTGAAAGGCAGAATTATTAAAACAGACTGGAGAAGGATGTGAAACATTTCTCTAGAATCTGCATACACACCACCTCCATGTCTGGAGGAGGGGCCACTGCAGAAACACTTGCTTACATGTAAATCCTTTTGTAGGGACATGCAGAACTTAAAATTGTTTTCCTCTATTAGCTTTTCTTTTGGACATGTTTATTATTCTGTAGTTACTCTACCAGCTCTTTGATCTGATGAAAAAAGCATATTTCTGGCAGTCAGCAAAACTGGTTTCTATTTACATTCTGCTGTTAGAATGATTTGGCATAAATTTCTGTTGACAATTACTCAGACCAGGGAATTGTTCTGCCTGAAAACTAACCTAATAAAAACCTCACAATTTCAGCTAAATTCATGACTGTTAACCAGGTGGCCACACACATTCTCCCCAGTGCCTGTACCCAGGGAAGGCAGGAACAAGCAGGAGTGGTGCCCTGGGCTTGGCAGCAGCCCTGCCTCATCCCTCAGGAACTGTTTGTGGAGCTGCAATGATTAATTTTAAAGCAAAGATGTGGCGCACACCAAGGTTTCTGGTGCTAAATGCAGTAGTTGGAGCACTCCCAAGGGGAAAATGCATTAGAAAAGGCATTATGTGCAGGACATGAGTTTGAGCTTGGACTAGGCCAGTGCTGTGGGACAGGTGACAAGTCTGGTGACTCCAAGGGCAGCCTGCTGGGGATGCCTGGTGGAAATTTCCTCCTTCCATGTTGAACATGGCGACTGCAGCTGTGACCAGCACAGGCACATGGACCCGAGCAGACTGAGCGGACAGGCACCTTCTCCCAGCCTCCAATCCAGGAAAGGCTGTCCTAGGAAGACCTGTGCTGTGTCACCCTGTTGGAGCTGTGCTGGGGTAAAGCCCTGCTGTGCTGGGGATCACCTGTGTCAGCTCTGAAACACAAGCTTTCCACTGGCCTCACAAAAGACTTCCACAGCTTTCCACTGCCCGAGAGGAATAAATAGCAAAAGCATTAAGTGTGTCTACTATTTGGCACAGCAGCATGTTTTAATAACCCCTGCCCCAGCAAACTCTTCTTTGCCAAAGAGAACAATGCAATGCATTTAACATTCTTCTGATTAATATTTATGGCTACAAGCCACCCATTGTTTTTACTGCATAGTTGGTAATCAATAGGGACTCCAGAAAACAGCAGGACAAGCCAGGGTAAACTGTGGAAGCCTTGGTTCTTCATGAACTAGGGAAAATGGCAAGAGGTCTTCCCCCTCACCTACGGTTTTGCAGTTTGTTTTAAAAGCGGAAGTTTCACTTGGGCTCATAAATCTGCACTTAAGTGTCTCAGTGTGCTGACACAGGTTTGGAAATGTTTATCTTAGCACTTGTGCAGCCTCATTAGTGTGGAATGTTTATACTCGCTCTTGCATTTTCACTTACCTGTACAGTTATGTATTGTGCACTGGAACGCTGTACTAATAACCCCACTGTACGTCCAACACTGTTTCACAGTAATTGCTCCCTCAGGTGCTGTTTCCAAGAGATTTCTACATTTTAGCCTTTTAAAGACAAGTAGGCCTTGGTGTACTCTGAAGTTGATGGGAAAGGATATACTGTGAAATTTGGCCCTATTCTAATTCAGTGCCTAATTGGTTGGGGATGGTGATCTGGAAACCTGAGCAAGGTTATACTGCATTTACTCATGAGGACAAGGCAAACATTAAACTGTAATTCCTGAAGACCTGGGCACTGATGCTTCCTTGTCTTGTGCTTTTCTTCTCTACAGACTAAGAAAATTATGTGTATTAAAACTGATAAAGAGTATTTTATGCACATATAAATATCAGTATATCTTTACAGTATGATAATTGCAGTAGTAGTAATAGAGGTTGCTAACATGTTACATATCTGTGATGAAATCACACTGTAAATTTTATAAAAAATATACCAACTGTAATTTTTTTTAGTAATGACAAATACACAGTTTACAAGATTATGTGGTCTGAGGGTAGTGTGCATTCTAAGATCATCATGATGATTTCCCATCTTTTCACAGATTTGTGCCTTGGATTTACACACTCTCATAATGCTTGGGAATGGAGTCTGCACTGATACAAGTAGAATCCAGCATCTTTCTGTGTGCTCTGCTCTAAAAGGCAATGCAGGAAATCCTCTTTACACATCAGTCACAGAGGCAACTAAATCATCCCTCAGATCTCAGAATTTCTTCTCCTTCATACCCAAGTGAGGTTTTACTCAGCAACAGAGGGGCTGGGATAAGAAGATCCTTACGAGACTTCAGATACTCCCACATACAGGGGGGAAAGGAGCACCAGACAAGCAGACAGCTCCTGGCAGATGGAAGCAAGGATGGAGGCAAGCATGGGCAAGTCATTGGAGGGAGCTGGGGACTGGGAAGGCAAAAACATTCCACAATACCAGTGGTCAGGTAGGAAGACAAGTGAAAGGATCCAGAAGAAAGAGAAAATTCAGAAAAAAAGATTTCCAGGCAGCAGGGGGGCATGTCCCAGTTTTGCAGTGACACTGGACTTACTTGCATCCTTTGGCAACAAAAGCAGCTGTCCCCTCAAGACATATCCCCCCAAGAGGCACTAGTGCAGTCTTTGCCACACATAAAATCTTCAATGAGTGTTAAACTTCATTCTTCCTCCATCAAAATCCTCACCTCCAAGCACAAAGCCCATGTATTTTACTCTGTTTGCTGAACTTAACAGGCAGGCCAAAAGCCAGGCAGAAGTGATGGTTATTACACACACATCCCCCCAAAATACAAGTGTGGGGAAAGACCACAGACAGCTGGGATCACAACCTTTTACATCTTTATTTGCCAGTTAAGATCCTTTTATTCCATCAATGCAAGTATGCAGAACAGCAGGAAACCATGTTTTAAGCAGCACATACCAGTTGGCTGAGAATAAACTAACTACATTCCCCAAGCAATGTAAAAGTAACAATGCACATCATCTTCTAAAAGAAGAAACAAACAGATGTTGCAGCCGAGAGGCACAGCAGGCAGCTTCCGTACAAAGTAGTTTGGCTGTTTAAAATGCTAGAACCAGTCCTTGCCCATTTCTCCAACCCCACCCCCAAAAGTCCTAGTATAATTTAACCACTTTTATTTTTTTTGCTATCTACATAATATATAAAATATAAACTCTGTTTACTTATAACACTTAATTTTCTTGATAAATAGCTCTTTAAAATATCTACTGTACATATGTCCATGCGTTGACATTATATATATATAGCATTTATATATATGTATGTATGTCTGAAAAACAATAAATATATACTTAATATTGACACAGCAACAAACGGAACGTTTTCTCATTTTCAAAATCAAACAAAAGCAAACCCAGTGGGAGACAAACAGTGAGTGTTGCTCGTGAAGCACAGCACAGGAGGGAGCTTTGATTCCTGCCCTGGCTGGGCACTCGGAATGCCCCGTACTGGAGCAGTCGTGGTGCTCACCTATCCTGCAATGTGTTAAAAGTCACTTCAAGTTGTAGGTAGCCACCCTGTATGCCACGTGTAACACAGACTGAGCAGGAGCTCAGGGGTAACCAGGGAGGCTTACTCCAGGTTTGCAATGGAATGAGAAACAGAGAGGGCAGGGAAGTGAGTCCAAAGGCTGATATAAAAAAAGGAAAACAAATAATGGACAGCACATGGCTGGAAGGTCATAAATAACCAAGGTAAACAAGTCAATAGAGTTAAGTGCTTTTAAAGACAATGGCTGGCATTGCTGCAAAAAGTGTCTTGATGATCTGTTGCCAACTCCATGGAATGAATCAGTTTTCCCACTGCCACAAGAAGACACAAAGGAAACTCAGAAGGCCAAATTCAGATGTTAAAAATGGGGTCACTGTCAGATACTCTGAGGGTCCAGGTTCAGAGCTGAACCTGCCCAAGGGCAGCTGAATTCACTGAACATCCTTAAACCAAACGGATGAGATTTTTAAAGTATGGATTAAAAAAACCAAAACAAACCCTTCCCACCCAGCCCCAAATAATTTATTTCACACATGCCAAAATATAATAAAAGGTTTTTAAAAGCTTTCATTTCAAAACAGCATTCTTTAAAAATAGAACTTAATCGCAAAATTAAAAAATGTAAATAAATACCCTTATACAAACATGTGTTCAGTTTTGGATTGACCATAGCCATTCTGTTTACTCATTTTATTCAAAATGCTGAATAAAAGCTATTTCAGTCTGACCTGTGCTCATTCATACCCTTCTTTCCTCAACCCCAAGGCCTCGATCTGGCAGCTTCAAAAAAGACATTACTTGTTTGGACTGTGGCTTCATACACTCATTAAGTCATGAGGTTTTGACATCAGTTCATGAATGCAGCATTATGTGTAGTCCCATTTACTTTAAAATTTCTTCTTTTCATGAGCAAATGGAAGTGGGCAGTTAAGGGGAAATTATTTTTATTGGACAGACTTCACCCAGCAGCTCAAAAAAGAGGAAATTTTAAAGCAGATAAGACTGCCAAATATTATTCAGTCACACTTCATCTCTAAATTTACAAACTTTGCTTCCCACAAGTAACAACTTCAACAACAACAAAAAGAAACTGCTGTTCTGATTAATCCTGCCATTTCACAATTAGCTCCAGAGATCACTGCAGAGGTCGAAAGTCCAGTGTTGAGTTCCATACATCCTAAGGGTACACCACTGGGCCTAGAACACCAAATCAGTGTGGAGTAACTGCACAAAGTCACAACTCTGGCTTGTAAATACAGAACTTAGCAGTGAACAGACTTCATAATGAGTGATATTTTATGCTGAAAGACATAAATAAAAGTCAAATACAAAAATTCCCAGCAACAAGAAGTTCTGTCATCATTCCTTCCTGATTCTCTGTGAAAACAACATCAAGATACTATGTTTACCTTTACCCAGTAAATAAAATATGCCTTTTCTTGGTAGAACAGTGAGTCATTTTAAATTATCTGGGTCTATTCCACATGGACACAAAACTAAACAAGAAATTGAATTGTCATTGTGCTGTGACCACATGCAGCAGAAAAGCCTCATTTTTTTTTAAATGGCTGAACTTCCAGGACAGCTGTTTACTTGTTCAGTCACTTTTTGGAAAGTTATGGAAAAGAAGGGAACACTTAGTACAAAGTGAATAGTGCCTCTGATTGCCCGATGCTGGCTGGACAGGGATTGCAATCAAATTTGGCTGATTTGCTTCAGCCAAAGCAAAGGATGAGCTCCAGAGCAGCCCTTCCTGAGCCAAAACTCATCAAGGCATGGCCCAATTCCCTGCCATGTTGGCTGCATGAGTAAGATCCTCTTGTCCCTACTGGGTATTTTCTCACTACACAGCCAACGTACTACAGACTTACCACATGCATGGTACTGGATGTAGGAAAGCCCAAGCTCCCACAGAGTTCTTACACTTCCCAGTAGAACTCCACTGAGATCAGCACTGAGGATGTGCCTACCCAGCAGGAGTGTGGGATAGATTCTGCTTCCCCAAGGGCAGGGTCCCTTCCTGGGCTCCCACACACAGAGGTGGAGCAAGGCTGCTGCTGTCACCCTCGGGAAGTGCAGCCCTCACCCTCCATGGCCTCCCTGCAGGGCAGGCACAGAGGTACCAGCCTGCAGACACCTTCCTGCTGCTCCCTGCTGCAATCACCACCCTCCCTCTGGGCACATTTAAGGAGTTAAGTTGTGCCCTGCTGTCACACAGTACAGGGCTGTCCTACCCCTGGTGTGAATCCCAATGCAATTCCAATGGGAAATAAGACACCCTCTCCCAGTTGACTGTCCCAGCACTGGAACAGGGCCCTGCAGAGCATCAAAGCTCACCTTTTGGCTCTTTCTGTCTTTGGCAACAGACCATAAGGATCAGTATCCTATTTGCACAGGCTGATGGCAAAGGAAAGACCCTCTCCAATAGCAGCCCTGGGAGAGAGGAATGAAATTTCTTATCTAATGTATGAACAAGTTCGTTTGGGGGCTACTGTAAATTCCAGCAGTAGCTGCAGTTTGGCTCCTAGGCCTGCACCAATTTAGCAGCATTCATCTCAAACCTTGTGGCAGAGCATTAAAAGTGCAATTCCAAATACATGTTTCCTGGGATGGTACCGCTTCTGAGCTCAATCAAATACATCTCTGCTATCTGCTGCCCAAATTCCTAAACCCAACTTGAATTCCAGAAGCTACTTAGGGCAAATTCAATGTACTTTCAACTTCACCGAAGGAACAGAGGGCTGGACGCTGCCAAGAAAAAGTCCCAGACTATAAATAAACTATTTGTCAGAATAACAATACACATTCAATAAATACACTAATTTTTTCCTCCTCCAAGCCAGGTGGAAGTTTAGTATGTTTACACTTGACATTGCAGCACCTTCACCTCCCAGAGAATGGAAAAACTGCCATACCATCCTGAATGCATGCAGCTCCTGCTGCCATCCCAGTTAGGTAACATAAATGTAGCATCTCTGCTACCATTAGAAGAGGAGGTCCCACCCTGTCCCTGCTCTCTCTGGGCCAGCACAAGGAGCTGTACAAGATCCGACCCATTTGCAAGCCAGTGCAGACAGCAGCATCAGATGTCTGTGTAGCCAAAGCATTGGATTTTCTTTCTGCTGCATCAACAGTAGGTCTGTACAGGGGATGGATGATGCCTGCCACCTAAACCTTTGTGTCTGGGGCAGAAAGTTTGAGCTCAGTAGTACTATCCTTATTCACTGTGTCTTGCCTGTTCACTGCAGGGGCAGGGGAAAGGATTCTAACTGGCATCACAAAACCCAGAAAGACAGAGAAAAGAAGAAAACACAGAGAGGAAACACAGCCAACATTTGTGAAACACGAAGAAGGAAAATACATGAACAGCAACTCCAACACAATCGCCAAACTGAGAAGCAAGATTCACAAACATTGTGGTCCATGTTTGGTTGACTTTTGGATGATGTTTAACTAGACATGGTTAATTATCCACCAGGCTTGCATTCATGACTTGAACTAGCCACTCTTTTCAGTAAATGGGTTTTGCTTCACTGTATGAAAACTCTCTTGATCCCCTTGGGGGTAATTCTATTTTTCAGGAGACAGGTGATTTCTTGATCAAATCCTCTCTTCTGTGTTATTTACTTTTCAGGGCAGGAAGTGGATAGCATGATATATACCATGACAGTTGCACTGGGAGATTCATATTGGCACAGATACTACCTCTGGAATTCTCAGAGAAACCCATTAAAAAAAAAAAAAAAAAACAACCAAACTTGTCAAGGGCCGCTTCCAAGAAGGAATGATGAAGCCTTGCCCGAGGTTTTAGCTGAAACAGCCCCAGAGAGAGTTGCTAGAACTGGCAGAACAGCATGGATAGAAACAATTCTCCCCTTGGGTGTGGTTTTACAGTATTACATTATTCCTTCATCAGTCACACTACCACACTTTGGGGACTATTTAACAAAAGGTCGTATATATGCTCTTGAAATATTAAGCACATATGAATCAATTTTGGGCTGGGAGTCAAGTTTCCTAACTTCAGCCACACCAAAATTTAGAAGCCAGAATTCTCTGCAAAGAAGGAAGACAGGCATTTCCAGTGGGCATCTCTTTCTATATTAATCCTAGGGTGAACTGAGTCAGCCTTTGGAGAGCTCTCTCTGTATTGACTGCAGTGTTCTTGCTGATGAGAAAAAGACAACCAACTGAGCTGACTAAAGCCAGATAAGATGAACAACACTATTGATGCCCTCCTCTTCAAAAACATATTTTCTCTTTATATTTACTGCTCACCCCAGTGTTCTCTTACTTCCCCTAGTCAAAATTAACAAAAAATCCTGAAAAGGTTTTTCTCAAGTTTAATATGATTTAGTGCTATATGCTTGTGTTCTACTTTTTTACTATCTCAAGACCTAGCGCTGTAAACACATCAGCACTGGAGCAGCTTTACTCAGAAAAACAGTATCCCTATTTATTGGGATAAATCATGTGCCTTTCACAATATTCTTTCAAGAAGATATTCTCAAAAGAATTATTTCAAGACTGCAATCTAAAATATTAAAAAGAAGAACAGGACAAACATAGCAAAAGAGTTTGTCCACTCCTGCACTGGTGACAGGCAATGATTAATACAGTACCAGTAGCTGGCCACTTTAAGGAGGTGAGAAGGCTGGGGGTCCTATGTAATTTTTTTCCCTTGTAAATAGATGGGAAATTTTCTCATCCCTTTTGTTTTTCACTCACACTTACCACTTGGAGGTGAGCACTTCTGGACTGAGGGATGTGAAATTACTTGTTGGTGTGCATCTCTCAAGTGTGAGTTCACAGTGGTTTAAAAGAACACTGTTTGTGTATGCAACCAAACATCGTATGGTTTTGGGTTATATTCCTGCTGTTTCCCACCTAAAGCCAAAATGCATGATGAATTCACTCAAAAGTCAGTCCCAAACACAGGAAATTTTGTGCAAATCTTTGTAAGACTAGCCTGAGTTCGGCTGTATAATAAACCCCATTATCATTACTGGGTCGTGCCACCTGCCATCCATGAAGGTTTTCCATCACCCATTTTATTCGGAAAACCCGTAACACTGACACTTACCAGGAGCTCACAGAAGAGCCTCCCTCCCCAAATACCCAGGCATGTGCACTGTGGTTGAGGACTGCTTTGTTTTAAAAGCCACACATTTTCCTATTTAATTGTGCTTTAAAAAAAACCAAAAGAAAAATCAAAACCAAACAAAGCAAAAAACAACTACTAAACCAACACAGAGAAGCTCTTAAAAGGCTGTGTGAAAAGTGAACTGCCAAGATTTTCTGAATCCTGCAACACTTTCACATCAAGCCCTGTTATTCTGTGTGTTGGTTGGAGGTGTAGTAATACAACATGGTGGTGTCAGCTGTCATGGTAGGAAACATTCATGTCAGACACTACAGAAAATTTAAAGACATGACAGTACCTTCACAGCCCTCTGGTAGGTAAGGAAAATCTAAAAGGATCTTCCCAACCTTTCACAGTAAACACAACTGGATAATCTAAAGCACCTGCAAGCAGGGGATGAGTCCATGATATATCTTTGCAATCAGCCAGCTAATACTGTTATTAAAACAGTTAAGTTTATCAGCTCTTACATCTCCTGTCTGTTTTGGGCGTTTCAAAGGACCACATCAGTTTGGCATTTAGCTGCCAACAGATTTAATTGATCCAGACACTGTATTTTCTTCTCCTGTAATCCTCAGCTAAGACACCCAAGCCCTTCACAGGGGCTGAAATACCATCTCCTTCAAGAGCTGTCTGGTTCCTATTCATTCCTAGGAGCTCAGAGGAGCTAGCAGTACAGAGACATCCTGCTCTTCCGCATGGCTTCGCTGATCAAGTATGCCGGGCTCAGTTCTGGCTCCTCAGTCATGATTGAAATGTTCTGCCACTCCCCCAGCTGGTTTGACTTTTTAATGGTGTCCACCACACACAGGGCGTACAGACAGTCGTCAAAAGTGGCAGCCATGGTAAGGGGCCTCCCGTCCCAGGTCCTCCTGTCGTCCTGGTCCTCAAAGGCCTGCCGGACAGCCTGGACCATCTTAATGGTGCCCCGCAGGTAGGGGGATGGGATGTCACTGAAGGCTTTCTCCGGAAGCAAGGAGTTGCTCACCGGTGTGGAGTCCTTGAGCAGGAGCTCCCGCTGAGGAGAGCTGTTGCTCTGCCCGTAGAGGTCAGTGCCTATCACAGTGAGCCGTCCCGCCGAGCCCACCACGATGATGTCCTGTTTGAACTCCCCCGGGATGTTGAAGTTGAGCGTCACGGTGCAGCACACGCCCCCTTCCAGGACCATCTGAAAGGTGCAGAAGTCATCGCTGGTGATCTGCCGGATGCCCTTGATGTGGTCCGTCTGCTTCACAAAGGTCTTGAGCAACCCGTGCACCTTCACAGCCTTCTGGCTGGTGAGGAAGGTCAGCAGGTCGATGATGTAGGTGCCCACCGAGTGCAAGCCCCCGCCTCCCATCAGGTCATCGCAGCTCCAGTTGTACTTCTTGCCCAGCAGGCTCCCGCTGTGCACCTGCACCTCGCACACCAGCAGCTCCCCCACGTAGCCCTCCTGGATCAGCTGCTTCATCTTCACGAACGCAGGCAGGAAGCGTAGAACATTCCCCATGATGCTCATGAGCTTTGGGTAGTAATGAGCCGCAGTCATCATCCTAAAGGCATCCAGGGGAGTCGCCGTTCGGTCACAGATGACGTTCTTCCCAATGCCTAAAATGGTGACAAAAAAAAATCATCAATAAAGTTTTATCAATGGAGTAAGCTGAAAGCCTCAAGGCTATTCTTAAAGACTAAGCCAAGGAGAAAGACCCTAAAAGAATAACACCATATTGAAATGTTTTCAAGGCACAAAGACCCCCTCTGGCATGCTTCCAAAATACATGTAAGAATTTTTTAAGCACCACAGTGAAAATGTGATCCTTTTCATTTTCAAAAAGCTGTCTAAATTCCTTTTCATTTTGAATTCATTTTCAAATTCCTGTCTAAAAAGAGCTCAAAGGTGAGAGCCTGAACAGAAAAAAGTAAGCTCCCTTCTGGGAGCAGGTATGAAACCAATCACCCACCTCAGCCATCTCACAGACATCTCTTCTGTGACAACCTGCCCATGCAGGGGTTTCTGTGAGCTGAATCTGAGGTTCAGACTCAAATCCCTGAAGGGTATGAATGACACAAGTGCATGTACTCAGTAACTTAACACAGGTACACTGAAAAGCCTGGCTTTGTCTTCTCAGTACTCTTGTCTCTCCCTCTTTCCTGCTCAGACTGTTTTAAGAGACTCTGAGGAGAGAAGTACTGGGCTTGCTGCTTAATTTAAAATGAAGAAATTGCTTCTCACTCCTAAAATGCCCCGCTATTCTGACAATGGCACTCAAGTGTTTTTTGAAGCAGTTCTGCTGAAATGTCAGCAGTGCATCCATGGTGCCAAAGGAGAGTCAGGATTGCTCTAAAACAGGTCAAATGTAGCTGTGACAATCTGTTCCCTCGTGGAATTGTCCATATGGCACACTGTTTACTGAAGCTTGCATGACAGTCCCCTTTTATCTGGTCATCAAGGTGTGCAACTGGATGCAGTGAAGGCTAAATAATGGGCTTATTACTGATTTTTCCCCCTCAAATACTTCCATTCTGTACCCACACACACGTATAGTGACAGAATCTCCAGTTTCCTTCTTAGTTACATACAGAGATTTTTTAATGCTTAATGATCAATATTAGGTAAACTGTGGAACACTCTGGATATAAACTATGACACTAAATATGACCTTTACCTGGAGAGCCTTGGGCTACGGCTGGGCCTGGCACTTAAAAGAGCTGAATTTGGGTCCTTGCTGATGAGTCCAGATGAATAAATTTACTTGCTAAATCACATTGTATTTTCATTCCTGTTCCCTTCAGGTAAAAATCTCTTTTTCTTTTAAGAGCTGTTCAGAGTATAAAATTTTACATGTTTTGGAGCTGTTTGGATGAAGTCATGTAAGTACAGACAGATGGCAGGGATCTATCTGAGCCCACTTACATGAATATTTAACAGCCTGACTGGAAGAAGAAGGGGGTCACAGTCCAAACATTCACAAACCAGCTTATCCACACTGCCTATTCCCAGTCTTTGTCTGCTGCTATTTGAGTAGCTGAAACTGGAGGGAGGGAGGGCTGTCATTGCTGAAGTAGCAGTCACATCCCGTTAACAGACAAGAAGGGAAAGATCTTTCTTCAAGATCTTTCTTGCTCCTATTTACCTTCTCCTTAATCAGATAAGTAGAAAAATACTCATTTTTCCTCTTAAATTAGCCAAGAATCTTCTATTCAGTGCCCATGGTGTCTTCTCTTCTTGCTTTTCTCTCTCATCTTTACAGATGGCTATTGGTGAATGAGTTGACATTTTCAATAATGTCAACTAATAGCACCTCTTTTCCTGCCCCTGAATAATTTTTTGCTGCATCTGTTTGATATTGGAGAAAGCATTCATCCACCTGCCCTATATGCTCTAACTGGTAGCTCCAGCTATGCCACTTGATACAAATCACTAATGTAATAATCCTTGAGTTACACAGACTCTTTGCAGAGAGATTTCAGTCTGGCAAATTAGTTAGCAAAATAAGGGAAATCTTAGACAAAACATCCCTAGAGTCAAACCTTCCTGATACAGCAATTTTCCCCCAAAGAACCAATATATATTACTCATTATCTGACCTGCTCACCACTGATCCACAAAAGCATCACGTTCTGCTCCAGTTCAGCTTGCATCATTCTGCCTCACAGACGCCTGCCACATTTTATCTGAGCTCTGTCCAGGCACTGTGTCTCAAGATATGCAGCTCCACACGTGTGCTTGCTAGGAAAAGGATCAGTGTTCATGAGGAATTGCAGCCTGGGGACAATCTTTTTGCTGAGTGTTCCATGCCATGCATGGTGGGGGTTAGCCCTTCGCCACGTGGGGCAAGGAATACTTGGGATCGTTAACATCTGAGTATGAAATTATGATTATTAATATGAAAGAGAAGCCTATGGATTTTTACATATTTTACATACAATTCCATACATTTGAGAAAAATTGCCAGTGGGATCAGTGTAACTCAGGCATGTGTGCAGAGGAAAGGGAAGAGCCCTAAATATTTATATGGGGACAGCGAGAAATTGAAGCCTTAAAATTACTCCTTCCACCATTTCAACCTTTTTGGAAAGGCTGAAACCTCGTAATTTCAGCAAATCCAAAATGCAAATGTTCTGAGAGACTTTCTGTCTCTGTCCATATGCTGATAATACATGCTATTCTCTCATCCCTGTCAGGGATTTAAACAGCTTTTTGCTTGCTGCCCAGAAAGCTTTTATATGCTATTAAAGCTTGTGCAGTTCTTTCAGCATAACACTGCTCAGCACTTGAGTCTGTGTGCACTACAGATCTTTGTCTCCTCCGTGGCTGCAAATCTGCAAGCAGCCACATTAGCTTTCTGGAAGTAGGGACAGAACATAAAAGGTTTGCTTAATTTAATTTAGAGGAATACTCTGGTGTGTTTATGCCACCAGAATGAGAAAAAGGCAGATCAAAACACCACTTTTCTGCTCTCTTCCCTCCGCTCCCTTCTCTAAAGGAGAAGGAAGAAAAGGCACCTTCCCTTTGAGCCATTCTCTATAGCAGCATCAGGCAGAACAGAGAGCAGAGTGCAAGGAAAATCTGCCTTCCCAACACGAAATCTCATGGAATGGTGTGCTCTGACTGCAGGCGCTGCAGGGGGCTTCTCTGGGAACTGACCCCCTTCTTCTCTAGTCTGGGGCTGTGGTCTAATCCTCCCCACTTCTGGACAAGACTCTAAGAAAGGATGAATTGTTACTGTTTGTCATTCTACCAGCGTGTTTTGCTGTTTCACATGTCTTTGAAAATCACAGCACAACAGACAGCAAAAACTTCATTAATTACATAAAAGCAGGGAAATGCAGCCAGCTTGTTTCAGCAAGAAAGTGAAATATATCTGTCCATGCTGATAAGCAACACAGTTGGATAAATCTCATCCTATGAAAGAATACACACCTCTTCCACCTGCATCAAGAAATCTGGTATACAGTGCTACAATTCACAACCAGGCAAGTAATGAGCATTGGTTTCTTGACTTCTCAGGTAAAATGACAAACATTTTAAATACATGTCAATCTTTTTCAGGCTCCACACAGACTTCCCTCTGGCCTCCCAGCTTGGCTCTGCTCTAGAGAGCGGTGCCAGCATTGGGGAATACTCACTCCTGGCCAGCCCAAGTCCAAAGCTGAAGGTGAGGAACACATCTCCTACCAAGGAGTGCATAAAGTCCATCTCCCAAACCAAACCTTAACAACTTTGGCACCAGTCTGCCTTTTTTAAAGAAGATTATTGAAGAACACACTTCTTCTCTGAAGAAGCAGGTGTCTAACCAACTCTACAGAAGCAGCTGAGCAATTAGAAAAAAGATTGTCTGTGCTACCATTCAAGTGAAGATCTCTCTAGAGATCTTTAGGTTGGAAAGTCAAATCGTAACCATGCTCTAATGCCTTGTCACCCACCTAACAGTATTTAATTCTCTCAGGAAGCCATGTGATTTATTTGCAATCCTCAGTCTTCATTTTTAAAAAAGGAAGTCCTTGTGAACTGGAGATAAGCCCAGAAGTGAGAGGCGAGTAGATACAGTCCAGGGTATTTACTTTTTTTTCCATGTAAGTGCAGGGAAAGAGTGAGGAGCTACAGTAAGAATTTAACTACTGACTCTGCAGTTCCTGGAATTTGCATCTCTTCATTCTACAGATGAAGCTTCTTTCAAGCTCCTTGGCTACCAGCAGCCCAAGTTTCTTTGTCCTGTATCATCCCTGTGCTGCACAGCTGAAAACGAGCAGAACCCACAGCACAGGGAAGGTAGAATGGCTGTAACCAGCACAGGCATCCTCAATTCTGAAAGCTTCAACATCAGCTTTTTCTCCCCATCTGCTCTGATTGTTTCAAACAAGGAGACAAATATTTTCACATTAAAAAACTCCAACTAATTTAAAAAACAAGTCTCTGTCTCTGAGCTGAAGTAAGACTAGTCCTCTCTATGTTCTGCTTAAAACATGAGGCCCCAATACAATATTTTCTCTTCTTATTATTCACAAGAAAATAAAAAAGGGCTCTATTTGGAGTCTGGGCATATAATCAAATCCTTCACTGGCACCAGGAAGATTCATTAGTTAGCAATTGCTACCTATTGCTCTTTGTCAAGATGGGGGAGTGAGAGAGAGAGAAATAAAAAATAAGGTTTTGGTGAACTGAGCTAAATTTGTCACCAGAAAAAAAAAAAAAAAAGATAAAATCTTTCTAAAAGCAAAGAGGAACTGTAAACATTCAAAGGACAGTCTGAGGGTTTCAGAAAATACTGGAGTGGTAAAAGAGCACACTTACCAGGTTATTTCAAATGGATGACAAACTTATTATAGTTTGTTTTTAAAACACTTTTTTTTTAAAGAAGAAATTAATACAAAACTATATTCCAAATGGTAATAATCCACATTATCATTAATAAGCATACAATAAATAAATACATGCAAATTTTTCTTCTCAGATTTTCACCATTGCAGCTGCTCTTGCCGCCTTTGGATCCTATGCACAATCAGAGGAAGACCTTTCCCTGGGAGTTTATCAAAAACCATGGTCAAAATAAATGGCCTAAATCAAAATACACTATTTCTCATTTAAATAATTGATGCCTGGCAGT